AAGTGTGTAGTAAAATAAAGAGAGTATACAGATTTATATTTAGAGTCAGTGAGGCCCCACAGCTCCTCAGCCTTCAAACACCCACCTGCTTGGACTACAGGAAGATCAGGTGAAAAGGGTTCTAAGAGCTGTGAATCCACACAAAGCAGCAGGCCTAGACGGGGTACTGGGCAAAGTACTGAAGGCCTGCACTGACCAGCTGTCAGGGGTCCTAACAAGGATCTTCAACATCTCCCTGAAACAGGCCGCTGTTCCACCGTGCCTAAAAACAGCCACCATCGTTCCTGTACCTAAGAAGGCCTCCATAAGCAGCCTTAATGACTACAGACCACTGGCACTGACCTCTGTGGTCATGAAGTGCTTTGAGAGGCTTGTCCTGCCCCACCTCAAGTCCTGCCTCCCCCAGAACTTCGACCAGCACCAGTTTGTCTATAAGGCAAACAGGTCAACAGCAGATGCCATAGTCACCGTCCTCCACACTGCTGCGAGCCACACAGAGGGGTTGGGGAACTATGTCAGGATGCTGTTTGTTGATTTTAGTTCGGGATTCAACACCATACTACCAAACATCCTCTTCCAGAAGCTAACTGACCTGGGATTCCCACCCCTCACCTGTGACTGGATAAACAGCTTCCTGACGGACCGGCCACAGACAGTGAGGTTTGGGACCCTTACATCCAACACTCGGACACTGAGCACAGGTTGTGTGTTAAGCCCTTCCCTGTATGCCCTATACACATACGACTTTGCCCCTCTCCACCACTCCAACATCATCGTCAAATTCGCGGATGACACAACAGTGGTGGGCCTCATCTCTGGCGGTGATGAGACAGCATACAGGGAGGAGGTCCAGAGGCTCGCAGCCTGGTGCTCAGCGAATAACCTCCTGCTGAATGCCAGCAAAACCAAGGAGATGGTGATGGACTGGAGGAGGAAGAGAGCTGACCCTGCCCCACTACAGATAGGACTGCGTGGAGAGAGTCTCCTTTTTTTTTTGTTTTTGAGGTGCACGTGGCTGACAACTTAACTTGGTCCACCAACACGTCAGCGGTAGTCGGAAAGGCCCAGCAGAGGCTACACTTCCTAAGACTGCTGAAGAAATGTGACCTGTGTGTGCACCTGCTGCGTTCCTTCTACCGTTCCACCATAGAGAGTCTGTTGACATACTGCCTCACTATATGGTACCCAGGTTGCATGGCCAAGGACAGGAAGGCCCTGCAAGGGGTCATTAAATCAGCGCAGCGAATTATTGGCTGCCCTTTGAACTCCTTGGAAGACATTGCAAATACGCGAGGGCTAAACAGGGCCAAAAAGATCCTGTCTGACGAATCCCACCCTGGCCATGGCCTCTTCAAATTCCTGCCCTCTGGGAAGTGATACAGGGTATTGGGGAGCAGGACCAACCGGCTTAGGAGCACCTTCTATCCATGGGCAATCAGACTTTTGAACACTTACCCTCTACAAGCACAGTATTCAGATATCTTAGCTAAAGTTATGAATGTTATTTTAGCTAATACTGAGAAGTGAGGAAGTTTTATATTAAAAAATTAAATAATGCACCGTAACAGTTTTTACAGAGCTGACTGTGGATGTAACTAACGAGTGAGCCATCTTGTTTCCTTCTCATCTCTGCTGAGAGTTGCACATGTACTTTTCAACATACAGCCAATCGTAATGTGTTAATGTGTTACAGCATCTATAAACACAGGACCCCGAGCACATCTGGTACCTACACCAACAGATCCTTCACACTTTAAACAGTTTTCTGTATGTGATGACCCCTCCCCCCTCTGGGTGGTCTAGGTCTTTTTCCCTTCTTCACAGGAGACAGCGTGGCAGAGGGTGTGGCCATTAGATGGGCGACACCTGGTGTGTCATTGCTGGTCTTTATAAATGGCTGATTTGTGATCAATCTCTCTCTCTCCTTCCAGTCAGCAGGTTCTTAGTTTGTTGCTGTCTTTGGTTTTCTGATAGTCTTGGTATTTGGATATATGCATTACCTTTTCACACACACACACACACACACACACACACACACACTACACTACACTACTGACCTCACTGACTTTCATATACATATTATGATTTTTTATCGTGAATATTGTTTAATTAAATTTCTTTTAATTTAAACCTAGAGCAGGTTCATGATGTGTTTTTCTGGCTTTATTGTTGAAAACATTCAGTGATGATTGAATTTGATTTTAAAGTCAGAATTGTTTTAATGGACTGGATCAGGAGATTGTGACTGTGGCAACAGCTGCACATTCAGATGCTGCAGTCGGTAGGCTCCTCCTTCAAACTCTGTTTCAATCTGCTTTCAGCTTTATTGCTCAAACACGTATTACCTCTGACAGAAATAGACTGCAGTCATCAGAAAAGGAAGTGTGGGGTTTGGATTAAAGAGCAGCGGACTGTGAAATGATCCAACCAGCAAGATCAGTGTTAACAGCCCACCATGGATGCTGTCACCCCAGGAGGAGAGGAAGAGAGCCGATAGGAGCCATGCTGGCCCAATGGGACAATCAGAGACTGTTGTGTCCACATCTTTACAGAGACCTGATCCATCAACATCCCAGATCCTCCACAGACGGACCATGTTCTGATCCTCCCACAGAATGTCATTAGTTTAGCAGGTATTTGGTCATAAACCAAAGTATTGAACAAATTTAAATGTTGACCTGATGATGGCACTAGATGAAAAGTCTGAATCAACAAAGTAAATGAATGAAGTTCATCCTCTGGGGACCAAGAATGTCTGTACAAGATTTAATGTCAGTCCATCCATCCACCCTTTGGTCCAGGTCCAATCCATGTGGACTAAAGTAGTGGACGGACAGACATTACCATCCATAGAGCGACACTGCTAGTGTGTCTAAAGAGACAATAAAAGAAGAGACAGTCATGTTGATATGAACATTAGAGAAATACATCATGGAGCTGAAATATGATCCTGCTTCATCATTTGGACTCGTTCAGCTCAGCTGACACATTCAACAGCAGACAGGTTTTTGTATTAGTCTCTCTCACTGTGCTCACTGACAGTAGATACTACTACCCCATCTATGGCTCTGGAACTAAACTGTATGTAACAGGTAAGAATAAACCTTCATTTTCCTTTAATGAGTTTCTGCTGCTTCAGGCTTTACATGTTAGTTTTTTCATAATTAGTAGAGAATTCTTGCAGCCATGCAGCTATTGTTACATAAAAAGGTTCATAATTCGAAAAGATGTTTAAATCTCCGCACAACTGAAGTTATTCTTTATTTCTGCATGAGATCACACTGATTTATATAGAAAAAGTATGATATTGGCAATGTTACAGATATACAGTATTTGATCATCTCAGTAATTCAGAACCATCTCCTGTTTTAATGAAACTAGATAATATATGATAATATATATTATTAAATATGTGTCAGTATGTGTCTTTAAATGTGTTGTATAAGAAAAGTATTTTTTTATTGGTAGGATTTTGCTAATTGTATTTTATATGATGGTACAAATGTCTTTAAAAGGAAAATATACTCATAGCTGAAGGCCAACAGATACTGGATATAAAGAGAATGTATACGTACCAATTTATATATTTCTATTTCTATATATGATAAATATAGATGACTGATATATAATGTATAAATATGTATTTGTATCTTGATAGACTTTTAATATAAATAGTATATGATGTTTAATATAATTTCAAAAGTGTAAAAGTAAACACATGTTTTAGTATCTGCTGGCAGATTGTTTTAAAGAACTCTGTGACTCCTTAAACCTTGTGCAACTCATTAATGCACCAACAAGGCCAAATCCTAAAGCACAAAATAAGTCGACCTTGCTGGATTTAATTATAACAAATACACCTCAACATATATTTTAATGATGTCAGTGATCATTGTGCAATATTGGCAATGTTACAGATATACAGTATTTGATCATCTCAGTAATTCAGAACCATCTCTTGTTTAATAAAACAATATAATATATTAAATATTGTTGAATGTAGATCAGTAAATGTGTTTGAAAAGCATTTAACCTAAGATATGTTGTGTAGGAAAAAAGTATAATGGTAAAATGTACATAATGACAATTGTATTGTCTTTTAGTGGATGATGAATGTTCATTTATATATTTCTATAATGATGATATATAATAGCATACACACACATTTCTATCTTAATACTTTATATGATGTTGAACATAATTTCCAATGTGTAAAAGTAAATAAATTTTATAGTATATAGCGGTAAATATGTATCAGATACTGAACATATTATACTTTCAAAAACAAAATCAGATTTTCAAAAAAATACAAAGATAAAAGTAAAGAAATAAAATGTAGTTAATTAAATCTTACAAGTATAACAATATTTTTTAAAGCTATATTAAAAACTAGATCAAATAGATTAAGAAAGCAAAAATAAAAACAAAACAAATCAATTGATTAAAAAGAAAATTAAGAAACTGATCAAATACATTTACAATGAAATTTACAAGGAAAAATAAAATAACAGAATAAAATGAGATAAATAATAAATAAAAAACATTCCTAGTTAAAAACCAGCTACAGAGTTCACTTTGAGTTTACATTTAAAGAATTCTACATTTCCAGATTTATTTTATTTTATGACGTTATATTAATTATTCTCCCATGAAGGATCAATAAAGTCTCATATCCGTAGATATCTGGCAGTTAGAGTGAAGAATATTGGTAAATATAGAATATATCTAATATATTGTAATCGTCCATCGGCTGTTGTGTTTGATGTTAAGATCAATTTGTCCTTTGCTATAAAAAATAACATTAACCATAATATATAAAATACTTTTTCTTTTCTTGAAGGCAGATTGAAGAATTGAACTTTGTGCTGTATTGATGAGTAGTTTAGTGATCAGAGTCCATGTAGTTTCCAGGATCAGACTGAATGCAGTGCAGTGCTGTAAGCTGCTGTTGACTGTGTGAATGTGTGTCTGTGCTGCTTGTTGCTGCTGTCAAACTTCAGATGAGCAGATAGTGAAGCCCGTGGTGAGCGTGTACCCAGCAGCATCCAGAGCCCACCTGGAGGGGAAGAGCTCCCTGCTGTGTGTGGCCTCAGACATGTTTCCTCCTCTGGTCCGGTTCTCCTGGAAAAGACAAAAGGACAATGGTACTGAGGAAGACGTGACCTCTGCTGAGGGAGAGCAGCTGGAGCTCAGAGAGTCGGGACGCACCACCTCCATCTTGCTGATCCCTCAGCGAGAGAACAGCACATATAAATACCGCTGCTCTGTCCATCACGAGGGGGGCACAGTAGAGGCCCAAACAGAACAAGGTAATGAAGGCTTGGTGACTGTGTTCAGCAGTGATTCAGCTTCATGTGGAGACACTGTCAAAGAGAGCAGAGGAGCAGAGGACTGACATTTCTTTTTGACTCCTTTTCTGTTTCAGAGGTTCCAGCTCCAGCAGCCTCCTGTCCTCCAGAGAGAGAGCCAGCAGACCTGCCAGCTCTGCAGCAAGCTGACTGTAAGATCACCTGCTGCCTCTCTGCATGGACAGCTCCAATGTTCTGCTGCAGTTAGGGCTGTATATCAGTCTGTTTACTTTCTGCTCATCATTGAAGGATTTACACATATAGTCCTTGATTCTGTTAGAGTCCAACAGAACAACTAATCCTAATGAGAGAGCTTTCACTTTACTATCTGACTAATAATACGTTTTAGAGGCACTCTATACTACATTTTGGGATTTAAAAACATTGGAGACTATATCTTAAAGCTCCTCTATGAATATTTCTAGATTAAGAATTAATCTAATGACTCTGTATAAAGTGAAAGGTGTCTTTGGTAGTTGTGAACTCACAGAGATTCATCACCAACTCTGCAGCTCTACGGAGCTTTTTAGTATCTTTTAGCTCCAAGTTTTTGTTTTGGATCAAACAGAAAATAAAATCTTATTTAGGAACTTTAAAAGTTTGGTGGGGCCCTGACTTATTGTATTTAATAAGGGCCTTTGAGCTTTCATTCAAACTGTAGCTGACCCCTGTCTTCATGTAAAGCTGGTTGTCCCGTCTGGAAAAGTCCAAGTTATACTGATGAAATTTACACAGTTGAACAGACTGAAACAGTGTGGAGAGAAGACTGACCTGTCTGTCTGTCTGTCTGTCTGTCTGTCTGTCTGTCTCTCTGTCAGTGTCCTTCCAGTCTCAGTGCCAGGTGAAGCTGCTCTGTCTGATGTACACAGTGCTGATAGTGAAGAGTCTGGTGTACTGCTGTGGACTCTCTCTGCTGATGATCCTCAGAAACAAGGGACCGTCCACCAACTGCACACATGCTGACTGACTGTTTTCTGCTCTCCTTTTATCTCCATCACATCTTATCAATTCATGTCATTTATCACTTTGATCAGCAGCCAGAAATGTCAATTTAGACGTTTTGTGGTTGGTTGTAAAATGTAGCTTTTAATACGCAGGTTAGATACAGTCATTCTAAAAATATAAATACACATATACACATTTATATATCTGCAGTTACTGAGTGTAAATTATGTGCTAAAGTCTTATTTTGATCTGCTACTTTAGTTCTGCTTTTAATTGTGACTCAGATAAAAAAAGATATTGCTGTTTGATATTTTACTGTTTATATTTTCTATGTTCTTATTTTCTTTCTTCGGTTTTTGTGAATTTCAGTTTGGCTTCATGGCAAAAATTCAGAAACACAATCAGTGTCATTGGCTTTAGTGCTAAGCCCCTTTTATAATTCAGTGTGGATGTAAAACTCTATGCTGATGACACTGTTATTTACACACATGAACAAACAGCAGAGTGAGCTGCTTTAAAGCTACATCTGCTATAAAATGATGATACAGCGGCTTGATCAGACCGTCCTGAAGTTTGAATGTTGGCTAAATGTTGGCTGTGTTTATTTTCCATAAACCAATAAAATGCCACTAAACTGTAATCAGCTTCATCAAGATGAAATGGATTGGTATAGTTACTGATTATACGTTAACGGAGATTTATATTTTTGTAACACATTTCAAGACAGAATCACAAAATGCTTCAGAAAGAAATACAAAAGTTGAACATTGTAGAAAAAACTGAAACTGCTTCAATTACCTTATATTTGATATAATTCAGACAAATTCTAATTTTTAACGTATAAATGAATAACTTAGAAGTTGTCTTTGTATTGATGATGTTATAAATGTATGCAGGCTATGATCCTTTCCCACATGTCCTAATATGTTGTATTATGTTACAAGTTGGAGTCAGGCTGGAGAAACTGTCATTTAACTGTCACCTTTACAGAATCAATAAAACAGTTTGAATTAAAGACAACTTTCACAGTGAGTACTGAGAGCTGAAATCAAACTGAAGTTCCTGGAATGATTCTTTAACCAGAGTCGATGGTTGTAACTGTCATTGTGTTATTAATGTGAAAAAGTGCAGCTAACGGTGAGGAGGCTGCAGAGAGGAAACCCACACAGCCCGTCTACTGCAGGAAAGGAAGTGTTGATTCGCTGTCAACAGTTTTTTATGAGTCCTAATAACCACTGAGAACAGATTCATATCTGCTGCTGTACACACTCATGAACTCCTCTCACTCTCTGCAGTTCTTTGTCTTTCGTCAGGTTGTCTATAGTTCTGTAAATTTAGCTTTTTATTTGCTTAAATATTTAATTCTGAAAATACTCAAAAACCAAACCAGACACATGTGAGTGTGTGTTCAGAAATTGTTCCTTTTTTGTTAATGCAGTCTTGACTTACACACTCTAATGAGTGAAATCAAATGACCAATTGGCCAATGACCACTGAACTGGAGGTCACAGCCATATATATAATGTATCAAAGTACAATAGGCGTAAGGAGTAAGTTTTAGTTCTATAAATTCAAAATATAAATACAAACCAAACCAAACAAGACAACTGTCACTCTGTCCTAGAAGAAGTTTCAGAAAAAAAATATTTTCTTCTTTTCTACCTGAACCGTTTGTTCAAATGTAGTAATTTCATATTATTTTAGGGATGTTTGTTCTATTATGTTATAACTCTGAACAGCTTGATCATTTTCACCATGAAACACTGTTGGAAGAATGACAACATATTGCAACTGTCTCACCAGACGAGACCTGTGTGACATTACATGTCTCTGTACGGTGTTAGATAGGTGTCACACCAATAAATAAGCTCTTCCACCATGGCTGTGTGACAGATTGGAAACTAAAGTTTATCATATGGTGGATTTCTGTGTTTGCTGCTGGTGCTGACATTAAACATCAGAGAGAAACACCACCACCCTGTGGTTAGTCAGAGGAAGTGCAAGGGTATCCAGATGATGCTAATGATGGTCGCCATGACAACATGATGATACTCTGATCTCTTATTATACTGGCAAAAAAACACAGTGACATCTAGTGGATAAAAACACACAACAGTAAAGTGCCACTTTCAGCCTTTTTGAACAAGGTGTTTGGGAGACCGCGCTACAGTTACTGTGCAACCTAAACCGGCTGCATGATGATGATGATGAAGTTCTGGCACTTTAGCAGTAAGCCTCACTGACATAACTAACTTAACTCAAAGGTCAAGATTTCCAGCACCATAAATCCCTCACACACTGATGGGATGTGTGAACAAACTGAATCTTTACATCATGAATAAACAAACATGAACAAAGTATTTTTTTCATGTCTTCATTCCAGGGTCTCATACAAAGCTGATGGAGAAACTGTGAAACTAATATGAGAGTATAACTAAGGCAGTTTTCCTCCTGAAACACCACAAAGTTCAGAGTTCATGTTCAGAGCAGAAGAGCATTTGTCAGTCAGTCTCTGTCCTTTCAACTTTCCTCACTAAAACAGCTTCATCCCAGAGAAATGAGCAGAGTTTTCTATCCCTTGTTGCTTTTTACAACCAACATTTAATTTGTGCACTCAGTCAATAAAGAGGATTTATTACACAGGCTGAAGATTTTGGAAAAAGGTCTTTTGGGTAATTTTGGCTGGGAAGAAGTTTGAGTCCTGGCATACATGAGACAACAGCTATTGTTTATTTCATATTGTTTATTGTTAAGTTGATTTTAAGATGAAACTTTATCATGTCCTGGGTTGTAAAGTTTGAATCCAGACTTGATTCAACCAGTTGTTTCTACAAAACAGCTGCTGTGCTCAAGATAGAGGATGTCTAATTGATCCTCAATTGGCAACAAAGAAATTGATCATCATTATCATTATCATTATTATAGTCCCTGATCATTTGTGCTTGTTGGAGGATTATGTTGTCCCTGAGAAGTTTTCTCAGTCGTCACTTAACCAGTGAGTGAAATATTTTAACTTCAACAACAAATGGAAAATGTGCAGTCTGCATCAGGTCCAATTATAAAATCTTAAAATCCATATTATTCTTTACATGTATTTCAGTCCGAAATCGTAATCTCTAGCCTTAAATCTCATATTCCTAAATACAATTTATAACCTGAGAGTTGATGTGAATAATATTTGTAAAGTGGAGAATCTTCTCTACAATCTTTCCCACGTGCTCTGAATGCAGCATCAGTGTTACAGGCTGTGACTCCTGTGAACAAACTGACATAGTGTGATATTATACATAATTAAATCTCCCTTTACTGACATTGTTTAAAGCTGCCAAATGCTCAGTGAAGTTTTTACATGTCTTCCCGCAGTGAACATCACAGCAGGTTAACAAGGGAAATGTGAAAACTGATTCACAACACAAGAGGGCGCCTTCATCCTGCTAACCAGGTTTGTAGTGGAGGTTAAAGCACCTCAACTCACTTTGTCTACAGTTTTAGTTAAGAACATGTTTTCAGGCTGATAGAAACCTTTACAGTTAAAGTGCATTGTGTCATACATCATGGTAAATGGTGTCAGACCACCAAAAGTATAGATACAATCTCTGTGTGAATATAAAGTGTCCGTCATAGTTTCCGACATATTTCAACCTACTGACAGTTTCTACAGGGGATCCAGGGAAGGTCAAAGGTTGAAATCCATCTTCCTTTATTTCTATTTCAAGTCTTCTGCTTTCTTTTGGACTTATTTGACTTCATGCTTCCTTCTACTGAAGTTCAGGTTGACCACTGTGAGTTTAAAGAAGATTTTATTTCAAGGTGCAACTTTGATATAAACAGTTTTCTTTCAGTAAATATTTAGTAATTGTGAGGTAAAGTTTGAGAGAAAGAATCACAGCTTGATATCCCCTCCCTCCTTCTCTTCACCCGCATGTTTCCTTGTTCCCTGTCCTTTAGATCTACAGTTTGAAAATGGGTGGAACCAACATGTGGTGACGTAAAAGAGCCGACAGCCCCCATTCGCTGCAGAAACACATGTTCTCAACTAGTTTCAGCTCTGAGGAAGTGAAACTCAGACAGTTGCTGTCACTGAGAGGGGAAATGGCGCAGCAAGGAGTTCAGCTAGACCGAGAAAGATTCTGTTGTCCGATTTGTCTGGATCTACTGAAGGATCCGGTGACTACTTCCTGTGGACACAGCTACTGCATGAACTGTATTAAAAGCTTCTGGGATGAAGAGGATGAGAAGAAAATCCACAGCTGCCCTCAGTGTAGGCAGACCTTCATACCGAAACCTGTCCTGATGAAAAACACCATGTTAGCAGATTTAGTGGAGGAACTGAAGAAGACTGGACTCCCAGCTGCTCTTGCTGATCTCTGCTATGCTGGACCTGAAGATGTGGCCTGTCATTTCTGCACTGGGAGAAAACTGAAAGCTCTGAAGTCCTGTCTTGTCTGTGTGGCCTCTTATTGCGAGAAACACCTCCAGCCTCACTTTGAATTACCTGTATTTGAAAAACACAAGCTGGTGGACCCCTCCAAGAAGCTCCAGGAGAACATCTGCTCTCATCATGATGAGGTGATGAAGATGTTCTGCCGTACTGATCAGCAGTGTATCTGTTATCTCTGCTCTGTGGATGAACATAAAGGCCATGACACAGTCTCAGCTGCAGCAGAAAGGACTGAGAGGCAGAGAGAGCTCGAGGTGAGTCGACAAAACATCCAGCAGAGAATCCAGGACAGAGAGAAAGATGTGAAGGAGCTTCAACGGGAGGTGGAGGCTATCAATCGCTCTGCTGATAAAGTGGTGAAGGACAGCGAGAAGATCTTCACTCAGCTGATCCGTCTCATGGAGAAAAGAAGCTCCGATGTGAAGCAGCAGGTCAGATCCCAGCAGGAAACTGAAGTGAGTCGAGTCAAAGAGCTTCAGGAGAAGATGGAGCAGGAGATCACTGAGCTGAAGAGGAAAGACGCTGAGATGAAGAAGCTGTCACACACAGAGGACCACACCCAGTTTCTACACAACTACCCCTCACTGTCAGCACTCAGTGAATCTACATCCAGCATCAATATCCGTCCTCTGAGGTACTTTGAGGATGTGACAGCGGCTGTTTCAGAGCTCAGAGATAAACTACAGGACGTTCTGAGAGAGAAATGGACAAACGTCTCACTGACAGTGACTGAAGTGGATGTTTTACTGCCACAACCAGAGCCCAAGACCAGAGCTGGATTCTTACAATATTCATGTCAAATCACACTGGATCCAAACACAGCACACACACAGCTGTTATTATCACAGGGGAACAGAAAAGTAACAGTAATGAGCCAAAAACAGTCTTATTCTAGTCATCCAGACAGATTCACTACTTGTTATCAGGTCCTGAGTAGAGAGAGTCTGACTGGACGTTGTTACTGGGAGGTGGAGTGGAGAGGAGGAATAGTTCGTGTAGCAGTCGCATACAAGAATATCAACAGAACAAGGAGCTTGAATGAATGTGGATTTGGACACAATGACAAATCTTGGGCGTTAAGATGTGATAATAACAGTTATAACTTTTGGTATAACAATGTCAAAACTCCTTTCTCAGGTCCTCAGTCCTCCAGAGTTGGAGTGTATCTGGATCACAGTGCAGGTATTCTGTCCTTCTACAGCGTCTCTGAAACCATGACTCTCCTCCACAGAGTCCAGACCACATTCACTCAGCCTCTTCATGCTGGACTTTGGCTTAGTTATGAAGTCACTGCTGAGGTCTGTAAACTTAATTAGTCATTTAAGGGACAGTGGGTTAACTTCTTTTTTCATTTTATTCCTTAAACATATTTTGTCTTCATGTTTGTTTTTGAGAGCTGATTGTTGTGGTGTTTCTTCATGGCACAGAGATCACTTGTCAATCAAACATTGTGGGCGGTACTTTGACATCTTCTCATTAGTTGTCCTGTAAACTTTTGAGTGTCTTTAGGTGGCGCTCCTTCCTGTGTCTGTTTAGCCATGGAGGCTATCACTGCTCATGATGATATCATTTACCGGAAGTGATATTTATATATATTGTGTTTGTTGAATATTCGTAATGATGTATTTGTATGTTGTTGTTTCTCTTCCACTGTATGGATCTAAGAGAGAAAGCAGCAGACCTTCCTTTATCGGAGATATTCTGTTCTCAACGCTTTGGAAATAAATCTTTAATCACATTTATTTGTTTGCCAGACCAAATGTTGTTGTTGTTGTTGTTGTTGTTGGTGGTGGTGGTGGTGCAAATGAGGAACTATGAGAACTATTATAAAAAGTGTATTTAGCATGATGATAATCAATAAGCAGATGATTGATTGTTTCATGTACATTGCTGAGATTCTGCTCCAACAAACTGATTGTGTGGATGAAGTGAATCTCTACATGAACTCATTGAACAAGAGTCATTGAACAGACTTTACTGATGGGATGTGTGGACAAACTGAAGCTTTACATCATGAATAAAAAAACATGAACAAAGTATTTTCTTCTTGTCTTCATTCCAGGGTCTCATACAAAGCTGATGGAGAAACTTTGAAACTAATATGACTTAGAGACTTAGACTTATACTTCTTTTTATTGATCCTTTTGGGATGACTCCCGCAAGGAAATTGAAGTTCTAGCAGCTTACAAAACACTTAAATAATATAAATAATGAGAGTATTACTGAGGCAGTTTTCCTCCTGAAACACCACAAAGTTCAGTGTTCATGTTCAGAACAGAAGAGCATTTGTCAGTCAGTCTCTGTCCTTTCAACTTTCCTCACTAAAACAGCTTCGTCACAGAGAAATGAGCAGAGTTTTCTATCACTGGTTGCTTTTTACAACCAACATTTAGTTTGTGCACTCAGTCAATAAAGAGGATAGGATAGGTAGAGTTGGTAAAGTTACTTCACCTCTTCCACTTCAGAAGTATTCAGGTTCAGTTAAAGACATTCTTCTTGACAAAAAAATTTAAAAAAACGTAAACAACTCAAACAACAGACAAACATGATCAATGCTAAACGATAAGTGATGAAGATGAAAGAGCTTCAAGCTCTCAAATTCAGGGCTTACAAAAGAGAGATCAATAAAAATAAATACCAACTAGAATAAAAAAGGTAAAAATGCAGTAAAAACTAGAAATAAAGGATTAAACATTAATAAGAAAGTCAGAAGTATTACTGTATTACTGCAGCTTCAGTTCCTGACGTTAGTAGAAAGCAAAGCACTCTGGGTCGGTGCTCCACACTCACATTCGGCACTGAGGGAGCTTGATCAACATCTGAGCAGGTGTGAGGTGGAAGAACTGCTGGGTGGAGGTGGAGGTGTGTTTGTGTTGGGTTGGGAGGGCTACACAGTCATTGACCAAATTCAGGTATCACAATATTAAAGTAACTTGATTACTTTCCGTTACTTTTGGACTACCTCAACACCAAATATGTAAATAAAAACAAGAGAAAAGAAATAAGATGTAAGTTAGAATAAGAAGTATTGATCTGAGTGTATTCTATAAGACAATGTGGCTGTGAACGTAATAGCATCAAAAAATGTTTCCTCTGCTCAGAGTATTTTTAAACAAAAACTGTAATGGATTACATTTAACTCTTTTTTTGTATCCTGATTATGTCACTCAGTTATAATCCACCACTCCCAAAGCCTGCTCAGTGGTCCCTGAAGGCAACACCTGACCTCTGCCTGTTGACTGTGGTAATAAAATGTCCTATATATCAGCTGTGACTATAAACACGTCAAACCTCTGCTGCCACCATTACTACAACTACTGCAGATAATTATTAAAATAATAATAATAATAATGATAAAAGTTGTCCATCTGGTAATGTGACCAACACATAACAAAGCTCAGAATGAAATATGCTGTTTTAAGGTCATCCTGCAGGTCCGGAGGATCCACGTGGACCAGATCCATGGACACTGATTAAGGTGCGTTCACTGACCTGGTTCAGCAGCAGTGTGTGTCTGGCTCCACCTGCTGTCTCTTGTTTTAATTACAGTGGATAATCTACACTGACAGCACTGATATATATACTGACTGTAGATCACGCTGTAGATTGAAGCAGTGAGCGGCTGCAGCCACCAGAGGGCGACAGAGAGGTTTCATTAAACGTAGTGAGTGTAAAACTAATCAAACCATCACACCAACGTTTAACAGGGAAAAACAATACACAAATGTCTGATTTATTATCAGTCTGGTGATTTACTACCATGTTTATTGTCTTCACTCTTACAGCAGCAAGAATGAATCCTCTTTTAAAGAAACCAACACTCAACCCTTCTGATATAAAGAATTACAGAACTGTTTCTCTTCTTCCTTTTCTTTATAAAACACTTGAGCGTGCTGTCTTCACTCAACTTTCTGCATATCCACCAGAACAGCCTTCTTTTGGTTGTTGGAATATTTTAGTTTCAAAGTTTAGATATAAAGGTCTAGTCTGTAACATTTAGGATATGTTGTCAGAAATTAAATATAATATTCATAGGTATGTTTTGTCATCCTCACTAAAATAAAGAGAGGCAACATAAAAAAAAACCTGGTTTATTCTGACAACTAATTGTGTCAATGTTTTTATATCATTTCTGAGAGTATGTGTGATCTTATTGAGTGGAAAGCAGCTATTGACATTATTAGATTGTTAATACTGATGTACAATGTAAGAGCAGCATTTTACTGTTGGAGCTGCTCCAGGTGGAGTTAGTTTGAACTGCTTTATATACAGTTAGCTAGTTTAGTCCGCTGGTTCCCACTGTACAAACTGAACTTTGAGTACTTGAGTAAAAGCAGGAGGAGGGGTTGAAGTGGATGTCAGCAGTGTAACGACTGAGCTGAAAGGTCCTGGAAGAGAAAACGAAGCTGCACAATGAAAAGAAACTGACACTGACACATCAGAGGACAACAGACAACACTTGTAATTATAACATTTATTTATTGATTATTATTGAATGATTTCTTTCAGTGGGGGCCATCGTATTACCCAACAGGACAATATAATGTAAGTCAATACACATCAGGAGGAATTCAAATGATTCAGATTGTCTTCATGTTTTCAAACCTTCACCAAAATAAAGTTACTAGTTGATAAAACATGTTAAAATAAGCAGGAAGCTGATAACCCAGTGTAAAATATATGAACAATGTAAACTGGGTGCAATGGAAATAGATTTAAAGATTAAAGATAAAAACAAAATAAGTTCCAGACAGTCCAGCGTCCATTTGAACAGTCTATTATCTTCATCACTGGATGTTGGACAGGTTATAGTGACACTGCTGACAGAAACATTATTAATATACATATCTGATTAGATTGATTGTTTATCAGTTCATCATCTCTCCATCATTCAGTAGAAGCCACCTTATTACTACAGGACAATAAAATGTAATTCAACACATCAATATAATAAGTCATTAACATTCACATTAACTATGTGTTTAAACCTCAAAGAAAATAAAACCAAAACTTTAATGCAAAGATAATTTAAATGATCATAATAGGAAATAAAATCACATTTTCAGTGTTGAGGTTTGTTGAGTTAACAGAGCTGCAGACTTAAAGCTTTACATTGGTGTTAATGGTGTCAGGAAGTTAATGGTTCACAAACTGTGGTCACATTTAAACATTTATCAGAACTCACAGTAAATCTGTGTTTTCCTTTAAACAGCACATGCAGATAATTCCTGCTGGAATATGTTTGTACAACAGAAAACTGAGCACTTTCTCTCTTTATCTCAGACACATTTATATTTGAGAATTTCTTGTTAGTCTTGGATTAGTTGATTTTGTAATCACTGTTTCTCTTCAGCTGTCCGATCAAATAAAGACATAAAAAGCCCAAACCCTCTGTGATCACTGTGAACTGGTCCGTGGGGACTTTACTTGGGAACCAGAGGGTTTTTGTTCATTATCAGCACGGACCAGTCGGTACAGAGTTTGGACTGGTAGCTGGAGAGGTTCCTGTTCATGATGATGATGATGTCATCATCATCATCATCATCATGATCTTCTTCTCAATCAAGCAGACATCACTATCTTTATCATATGATGAATATGTAATCATTGATATCACCCTGCTTATCTTCAAGACGACATCATCATCATCATCATCTTCCCACTCGTCTTTTAATATTTCATAGTATTGAACTCGTCCCTCCCAGTCTGGTCTGGCCTCAGATTTCTCTCTCTCAATAAGAATGTCAATGCACTCTGAAGCTGACAGAAGATTTGGGTTCAGTGATATCTCTTTAAGTCTCTGAGCCGACGTCTTTATTTGGTCATATTCATCATACTCTGTCAATGACCAATGACAAGGATACATTTTGACCTGATACAGCAATTTTTCAGCTAAATCCTTGAGCTGCTCTCTTTCTCTGAGGACCTTCTTTGTCATCGTCAAACTTTTGGTCTCAATGACATTCAAATCCACAAAGAACCTCTTCATACTTTTTGTTCCCATGTTCCAAAACATCTCATCAAAGCCTCCATCTTCCTCATACTCACTCATGCTGCCTGCTGCTTCTGATTTATTGTCTGCAAACAACACTGAATTATTGAATTTGAAGTAAACTGACAGCCCGTCTTTTGTTTTTGGACATGGGACACCTGCAGCATTGATTGCCTCTAGAACTGGTGGACGCTGGCTGTCTGCGAATGTCACCAGAACCCTGATGTTTTCTGCCACATCTTTACCAAAGATTGAGAGAACTGAATCAATCATATATTTCTGTGATAGTGTGAGTTGTGTTGAAGCAACCTGATCTACAAAACACACAGCATCAATTTCACTGACACCAAGATCAGCAGAAAAGAGATATCCAAGATGTTCAATGATCTCCTCGTGTCTTTTTATGTCTCTTGTATCTCCAAACCCTGGTGTGTCCACGATGGTCAGAGAGAAGGGGATTTTAAACCCCTCCTGGTGGTTGATTTTGTACACTGTGACTTCAGAGGTCTGGCTTTTAGCTTGTGATCTCAACTGATCCTCATCAACTAATCTGAATCTGAAATTGTCGTTCCATTCTACACCAACAATGTAGTTGATCATTCCATTGATCAGAGTGGACTTTCCTGATCCGCTCTCTCCAAAAAGCATTATTGTTCGGGTTTGCCACGTGCTTTCTTTGCCAAAACTGTATCTTCTGCATCCATCGATGTCCATATCTTCTTCTTTTAGCAATAGTTTGTAAACTGAAGGTGATTCAGAATTTAACCTTTCACTTGTACTTCTGAGGAATTCTGCAAGATGTGTAATTGTTGTTGTGCAGACATTAACAGAGATGCTTTCTTTGCTTCTTCCAGCTGCACCACAATCACATCTGACCCTGACAACATATTCTGTCTCTGACTGAAGCTCTGAAATGATCCTGTTTTCAGCCTTCGACATCATTTGGTTCCACTGGAGATCTTCCTCTTTCATCCCGTTGTCTGTTTTGGCGTACTCCACGATGTAGCTCCATATCTGGACATCTTGTCCAAGCTCAGCAGGTTTCTCCCAGCTCACTGATATCTCACTTGAGTTTGGTTCAACTTGTGGTTTTCCAGGAGGGCTGCAAGGTAAGGTTTTAATGGAACCACTGACTACACTGGCTGGTCCAACTCCTACTGAGGTCACTGCTCTACATCTGAACATATACTCTGTGCTAGGACTCAGATCTCTCACTGTGACTTCTTCAGCTTTTGATGCTGTCTGTTGTTGCCATCCATCCTCTCCACTGACACAGTACTCAACAGAGTAGGAGGTGATGTTCTCTGTTCCAAATCTGGGTGGAGAAATCTTCAGTGTCACTCTGTTGTGGTTTATGTCCCTGACTGTCACTGTTTCAGGCTTCGAAGGTGGCTCAAAGTTCTCACTCACAGAAAAGCCGTCTTTATAAAGGTAGATGCTTGAACCTCTCTGTGCCTCATTTGTTGAACCAACTATTAAGAACTTAATATTCTTGTTCTCCTTGTTGGCCTTTGCAAAGTCACTGAAGAGCTTTGCTTTATGTCTCATAGCATCTGCTACTTCTTTTGAGGCATACCATTGTTCCTTCTCTACATCAGTATGTGAATGTTGAGGGTCGTCTGGTTTGGTTGTTCCTTTTAGGTAGTCTGATAAAGCTGAGAGGAACGGTTCATCACTTCCCAATGAGGTGAAAACAAGACACACTGAATGCTCTACACTGAGACTTTCCTTGTACAGGTCTGTTTGAGACGGGACAATCTTGGTGTCTCTCATTATGTTGGTGAAAGACTTTAAAGTGTAAATTTCTCTCTCTTTACAGTCTATCCACTCGTTCAGGTCTTTGCTGTTGAAAGGAGAAGAATGTCTCTTATTCAGGATCTCTGCGAGCACAGCCTCCTCTTCTCCTCCTCCTCGGATTGATGGAAGTTTCTTTGCCAAGGTTTGTTGGAATTCCAGCTTGAACTCAGAGCACATTTCTTTAAAGGTTTTAAGTTTTTTGCCAATCTGTGGGAACTGCTGTGCAGTGGTGGTTTTCAGTGCATCATTACACCTCATTTCCAGCTCACTGAAGTCCTCCAGGACACTCTGTGATTGCTGAACTAGTCTTATACTTATCTGACGGACGAGTTTCGCAGCAGAAGAATCTAAACTTGTCAGTGGCAACAGCCAGACCTTCATTGGTACAGCTTTTTCTCCATTGGCTCCCAGCAACTGTGGCAGACTTTGGTAGATTTGTACTGCATCCTGAAAGGTTGTAGGAGGTTTCTGAATGGAAAAGTCTCCATAGAACCTGCAAGAGAATTTCTGAACGTTTGCTTTTTCCTCGTCTTCCATTTTCAGTGAACCTTCACCCTCTATTGCCAGGCAAGGAATTTTCTTGATCATCACTTTCAAGTCACCCTCAATGTCTTGATGAACTTCCTGTTCAGACACCTCACGGTCAAAGACAAAGAAGGCTTGTGCCCCATAAAGAATAGCTGTGACTACATGTGTTGCTAATCCTTTATCAAAGACATACGGATGCTTCACATTGCCTCTTCCAAGATGATCCATTGACAGTTCCTGAAACTTTGTGGTAGTTTTGTAGGTCAGTGTTACTCTGGCCTGATTTTTTGAAGTCTTACTGTCTTTCAGGTATTTGGCAGATCCACCAACCTCTATGAGTCCACTACAGAAACTTGCTTTCAGTGATGCTTCAACATTTAGTGCTGAAGATTTGTCCTCAATTGATTCTGATGCAACTATCTCAAAGTCATTATAGTTCTGTGGTCTTTCTCCAATATCTTTTTTCAGATCACTGCGATCCCACAGTGTCATTCCTGCAAAGGAAGTAAAAGTTCATCATCCAGAAACAGACTGACATAAGTCAGTGTATTGTTATTGTTGTTTTGTTATTTATTTTATACATTTTTGAATTGATGCTGCTGCTATTGTCCCTGTTACCCTTTGTTGCTGTAACTCTGGAAATGTCCCCATTATGGGATTAATTAAGGATTATCTTAATTTAAAATACCTCCTGGTGTTCCAGGAAACAGCTACCAGTGAGCAATTACAGCATTAAAAAGGTTTTTATAAATCTGATATAAGCTGGATCACTTAATTGTGAATCTTTACCAGGGATGAGTAAATCATTGCGGCAGTCATACAACATCCCGAGGCTGAAAGGCCGACCAAGTGCCGCCACCTCCATCGGTCTGCTGGATTCAGAGTCCATCGCTCAGTCCGAACTGGATAAAATGGACGACAGTTTGTTAGTTCACTTCTCTTCTGCTGTTCAACCTGTTATTTATCTGTCTGTTGTTTATGTATGTGGTAATAGCATGTCCAAACACCCTCACATTTTCACTTTAATTTGACATTAAAAAAATGAACCTTCAGAGACTAAATCAGCAGCTCCCATCGACTTTATGGAGCCTCATGGGGATTCAAACTAGCAATCTTCCAGTTCTGGAAGTCAGGAGTCTTTTCAAAGCCTCCAAAGGCTCGCTGCCTCTCAAATGTATTCGTCCCAGTTTGGAAACAGAGCATTCAAATGAGTTATTATCAGATGCAGTGTGGCAATGAAATTATTAGGGACTGAGCCAGTATCAACTGGAAGGTCTCTATTGTTTTTGCTCATATTATTATTTTTCAGAACATTGACTGCATTTTTGACCCCCTGAACATATACGAAAGTCAATTTTATCTGGCAGACTTGTCAGGCCTGGTTGCACTTAGAAATTCTATGTGTCTCTTTCGGGTTGGCCACTAGGCGGCGCTACTACCATAAAAAATGTGTTTAGGCTAATAACTCCCGCATAGTTTGTCGCACATTCAAAAACCTTATATCCACGCATTCGGTGAATGGAGCTGCACCTCTCCATATAGGCCACGGCAACTTCCGCCTATAAGTTTTTTCCGCTAGAACGCATAATGTCCATAAACTACTTTTTCGTTTTTCTCCTATGTGCTTTGTCCTATTTGCACAAAACAAACCAAAAAAAGCATGTTATAAAATTAAGACTAACTGTAGATTTTTCATCAAAAAAGGAAGTGGAGCATTTTTCCACATTGGTATGTCCGATTGACACCAAACTTGGGTCCATAGTTCCCCATGTCTTCCTTAGGCATCATGCACAATTTCAGGCCATCGCCACAAGGTGGCGCTCTTTAAAATAAAGAAGTTTATATCTCTGCAACGGCACGTGTGATTAAAATTAAACTTGGTATGATGCTTGCCCATGGCTCCCTGAGGCTCCCTAAAAAAGGTGTCAACAATCCGCCACTAGGTGGCGTTCTGGTGGCATGGTAAATCACTCTGCAGAAACCGTAATAGTTATGAATATGAAATTCACAGGGCATGTGTAGACTGAGAGCTCACATACCAAAAATCGTGTTTGTAGCGCCCCCAACAGGATTTTGAAAAAGCAGCCCCGGCGCCACGTTTCACCGATATGTCTGAAACTCGGTAGGCACGTGTAACATGTCGAGACGTACAAAAAAGCATCTTGGACCCATACCCCAAACCCCACAGGAAGTCGGACATTTTGATTTTGATTTTGATTTTCTGTGATTTTTCGTGCTGTATTTGAACGAACTCCTCCTAGGGAATTCATTGGATCTGCTTCAAAATTGGTCTGTACAGTCAAAATATGGTGGTGATTAAAAGTTGTGCTATTTGTGCACGTACGTAGAAGGGTGTGTTCTTGGCGTGCCGTCAAAGTTGGCCATTATGAATTCCATGCTCATTTTCTGTGAATTTTTCACCTTGTATTCGACGAACTGCTCCTAGGGAATTTATCATATCTACTTCAAAATTGGTCAGTGCAGTCAAAAAACATTGCTGATAAAAATTGTGCTATTTGTGACTGTACGTTGAGGGGCGTGTCCGAATGTCTGCCCTCAAAGTTGGCCAGGTTGAATCGAATGTCAAACTGTGATGCCATTTCCGGCATTACTCAGACTTCCAGTTTTTTTTTGCGTTGTATTTGAACGAACTCCTCCTAGAGAATTTATCAGATCTGCTTCAAAATTGGTCAGTACAGTCAAAAAACATTGCTGATTAAAAGTTGTGCTATTTGTTACTATATGTTGAAGGGTGTGTCCCTGGCTTTCCCTCTGGCCTATATGGGGAGAGTCCGTGGCGTGCCGTCAAAGTTGGGCATTTTGAATCGAATGTCTAACTGTGATGCCATTTCAGGCATTTCAGGGCCTCTATTTTAACTAACTCCTAACAGATTTTATCGGATTAACTTCAAATTCAATTATTGCAATATAGACACGTTGGTGATCAAAAGTTAATCAAATATTTAATGTGTGCCTAACAGCGTGTCTGTGGCATGGCGCTGAATTTCCACGTTTCGCCGGAAGATTCTCGCTATGAAAGCGGGAGTCTTTTGCAAGGGACTCTGAAACCCGTGACAATGTAGAGCGGTCTCTCTCAGCTTCCGGCGATGAGGGCTTGGGCGTGGGGTGACGTGGCACAGCTGCAGCGGGCGACCGCCGTGGGTCGATGGCAAGGTCCCGCCCAATGCTGCTTTCAGCTTTAATTATTTTATTGATTTATTACTGCATTTGGCAGCTGCAACTGTTGATTTTAGCCTGGATCATGTTTTAACTTCATATTTGCTGATAATATTTGCTATAGTTTGCTCTTTGTTTGTAAAATGTTCCACTCTGATGGCAGTAGACATGCTGCAAACACAACCCATTTGATAATCATAAAAAAACAACCTCCATATAACTACTGGTGATCAGAAACTCCACAAGGTGTCTTTAAGTTTGAGGGATCGTGATCAGATTTTATTTGGTTCTCTCATCAATATCAGCCCTCAAGTATTGTAGGATGGGTCAGGGTCTTCTCTCATACCTCCTACTGTGTTAACATAACTGAAATTCATTTTTAGTTTATTTTAGAGATTTACAACAGTTTTTATGTTTTTATGTATTTTAACCCTCCCTTCAACATTTCTATCAGTAATAATAACTTTATACTTACCAAATTAATATCTGAGATCAGGTGACATCACTTAAAAGAAGAAACACAATCAGTCAGAGGATCAAAGAAGTTAGAAACAAACAAGGTGAAATAATAACATTATAATTGTATTAGTTTGACGTAAAACAAAAGATCAGTTCGGATCAATAAAGCTCAACATAGTCGATCCGATCAGTTAAGAATGCGATCTGCGTTGATACCGATACTTGATATACAGTGGGTACGGAAAGTATTCAGACCCCTTTAAATTTTTCACTCTTTGTTTCATTGCAGCCATTTGCTAAAATCAAAAAAGTTCATTTTATTTCTCATTAATGTACACTCAGCTCCCCATCTTGACAGAAAAAAACAGAAATGTAGAAAGTTTTGCAAATTTATTAAAAAAGAAAAACTGAAATATCACACGGTCATAAGTATTCAGACCCTTTGCTGTGACACTCATATTTAACTCACATGCTGTCCATTTCTTCTGATCCTCCTTGAGATGGTTCTGCTCCTTCATTGGAGTCCAGTTGTGTTTAATTAAACTGATTGGACTTGATTAGGAAAGGCACACACCTGTCTATATAAGACCTTACAGCTCACAGTGCATGTCAGAGCAAATGAGAATCATGAGGTCGAAGGAACTGCCCAAGGAGCTCAGAGACAGAATTGTGGCAAGGCACAGATCTGGCCAAGGTTACAAAAGAATTTCTGCAGCATCATCAATCATGGAATTGGTCATCGAGGATCTCTACATATTCGGAACCATGATAACAGGCTATCTGCTGATTGGATTAGGCATTGCCCTGGTGTATCGGAAAATTCGGAAGACGGTGTCAGAAGTCCAAAGCCCCATGAAGCTGCCCGACATGATTGA